ACCGAGAAAAGTAGCAACTTATCTCCAGATGCTTAAATCCCAAACCCCAGAACCAATATTCTTCCATACAGGATAAGCTGTACACCGAGAAGCCTAAATGCAAGCATCCATGTGTCATCAGCGTGATGAGCGTGTTCAAAAATGCCCAGCACAGAGACCGCTGTGGCACGCAGGTCATGCACACCAAGCGAGGCACCAAAATAGAAATCTCACATGTGCTCTTACCTCTACCTGTTTTCTGCAACATTCGCAAACAGGTGCAGCATCTTTAAAACACATCGTGAAACAACTAAACACATGCGCAGGCGTCACGATTCAGGTTCCGTCCAACAGATCCAATACGCCACCAAGTGCGCTGGTCTCTGCGCGAATCCCGACCAGCGTGCAGGTCCGTGTAAAAAAAATAGGTCCGTGCAGTCACCTTCCACACTTTGCATCACCGCTGTGCTTTGGCAAAACCTTTTATTTACCTCCCCCAAGGATATAGTGATAACGTGATAGCCCGCAAGAACGACTACGCGCCTTTCTACGTACCGCGGTGACATTAAACATCAACCCACCATGCAGTGACTCATTGCGTAAAGAGTGAAAATAGAGTAACTAGTAAAGCCAGAGTACAGAGAAAAAAACATGAAGGCATGCCCATAACTCACTGGGAAACTCCATAGCGGCATCCGCATAGCCCCTCACAGGGTCCTCGCGGTTTGGCCCATAGGTCCGTCTATTGCCCATTAATTGGAAACGAAGCTCTTTTGTGGATCTCTTGTGCACTTATCCGGTAGGTGTTTCTAAAAAGTGATGCGTTTGATTTTTTTTATTGATGACTTTGAAAATATTGTTGCATTGTTTTACTGATGACAATATAAGCCGCTCCTCCCTTAAGGCAAAATGTTTTCTTTCATCGTTATGCAAATAATAGCCCCATCGGTGTTTAGATAACAAAAAGTAAATAATGCCTCAAAAAAAGCCGCGCAGACACTTCCCATTCATTGTCTGGGTGCTTTCAGAAACGCTAATTAGAATATATTTATAGCTGAAAATGACAATGAGGTTCGTCTACTAAAGAAAACTTTAGAAATGCTTTCGTTTGTTTTCTCTTTCTTTGTTTTATATGCCGTTTTTCATTAAAAAAGCGTATTTGTTTTGAGGTGGAGTTTGGTAAAGAGGGACGGTGTTTTGGAAAGTCTACATACATTAGCAGCTTCTTTTTAACCCCCCAAAAGTTACGTTTTCTTAAACAACTTCTCTTTTGTTCTATGTTAATAGATTTTTTTCTCACATAGACACTCTGTGCCCACCAGCCTGTGATCAGGTAAATTGGGTCACGTGTAAAATGGGCTGTTAAATATTTATCAAAGACAAACTTTGAACAAAGAAGGCAAATAGTTTATTTAACATTTAGATCTCAAGAGAATAGTGTTTGTGTTTATATTTTATGTAGAAATATATTATTAATCTATTTTGGAAACTTGGAAACTTTGTTAGTTTCCATTGCTCTGTAATAAAGGATATTTGGTTTCACTTTCCCGTTTCTTGATATTCCTCTGCTCTTCTCATCCCATCTTCTAGCCACTGATTGTATTTCCTGTCTGAAGTGACATCCTGTCTCTGTTTTGTGCTTTTCCCCCTTTTTTTAACATTTCTTCCCTCCGGAAGAAAAAGTGATAGGCTTTTTTCTTCTTCTTTTTTTTTAAAAATTCCATCTACCTTATCCTCAAGCCTATCCAAACTGAGAAGCAAGGTGCAACCTGGATAGGTAATTGCTGTTTCTTAAGTTATTACAGAAAATATGTAGCATTTCAAATATCACTGCACTACCCATTTTATCGCCCCATCTCTGAGCTACCGTACCTTCCTTAGCAACCTTAGACCAATAAAACCAGAACACATCAAATACATTTTTGCAACACTTTAAACATATCTAAGTGAGGAGGGGAAATGAATCAAGTTTGTGTTCTTTTTGGTTAGCAGTGATTTTTCCTTGAAACTCTCAGATGGATGACATTTTTGCCCAGTCGCGTTCTTGTTGTTGAATCATCAATACTGAACTTAACTGAGGCAAGTGAGGCCTGTAGTTCTTTAGACGTTGGTCTGGGTTCTTTTGTGATGTCCGGGATGTGTCATCGATGCACTCTTGAAGTATTTTTGGTACGCTGGGAAGTTTCACCGCTGTTCTGTGTTTTAACCTTTTGTGGATGATGGCTCTCATTTTGGTTTTCTGGAGTACTGT